TTTAGACAATTCCCAAACTTAATTGTTTTTTAATTCTCGAAGAATTTGATTTGAGAATTAATTCTTCGAGAAATGATTCTTCTTAGATTAGGAATTGTTAAATGAAGAATTTCAAAAATTTTTAAATTAAGAATTCTTTATTAAAATTAAGAATTTTTAATATAAAAATTAATTCCTTCAGAAGAAATTCTGAAATTGAAAGTCCTTCGAGAATGTAAAAATGAAATTTTAAAAAAAATTTCTAATTCTTCAATTCAATTCAAACGCTTGCTGATGAACAATTCCTTAACAATAAGGTTCGATCTTCAATTACTATTTTCGCTGTAGCATTGGGTGTTAGGGTGATATTGGGTTGTGAGGCGTGTCTTTCAGGGCTATTATTTTCTAAACACTTATTTAGCATTTTGGGGTCATTAAGGTTTTCAATCTTCGTTAGGGAATTAATTCTTATGGGGTACTTTTTAATAAGCATGTCTTCAGGATCGATTTCCATCTTTAGTCAGGCGTGTAAGCTCGTATCACTTTTTCCAGGGGGTTAATATCTTTGTATCCAGAGTAACAAGGGTATTTCGTACATATGGGATTAAGTGAGTATTCCGAAACATTTTCAACGCAGGGGGATTTCAACTTCCAGTTTCAAAGCAATATACTTGGATCGGGAATGGTCTATGCGTGCAATATCCTGCCTAATTCGAGGGGATAAATTGGTTATCGGGTGTCACTCAGGATCAGTGATAATTAGAGCCTATACTCCATAGGCCCCGCCACCATATCAATCTCCTAACATGGTTATAATACTTTATTTATGGTTACTTTCTTAATTATACGTGTATATGGGGTTTTCGAAGCCGTGCTCAACTTCGTCAGATTCGTTAATCGCAGATGTGATTATGCAATTATCGATTATTTTCGTTCTAAGTGCATGATGATTCATGGCATCGTGACAATTTGTCACCGAATTTGTTAGGGCCTCTTCTTTCTCAATGATGTAAATATGAATGTTTGTTAGCAAACAATATGATTATAGTTGATTAATCATCAGACTACGGATGTTTATGGAAATTCATACCCTTATTAATATAATATCAGCTCTTGATCTTCGCGAATTGTTTGTTCTCTGTTATGTATATTATCATTCGATCTACTCGCGGGACAAAATTAAAAAAAAAAAAAAATGCTAGATAGAAGCTATAAATATAAGTTATAAAAATATTTGTTTCGCGTATTTTAATAGAGTGGAAAAATATAATTGTTATTTCTTAAGTGATCAAATTTGAACGTGCTTGCTGACTAAAAAAGATGATGTAATTAATAACAATTGAGTAAAATTATATTCAAATTCTCCTATTTCAATCAATAAACATAAATATCTTCAGACTTTTTCGTTAGTGAGAAAAATGTTTCAAATGTTAGGCTTCGATTTCCCAATAACGAACAATTCTAAAGATAATTGCATTTACAGATTACAATGGGAGATCCTATATAATAAAAATTATATTTAAACAAAATTATATTTGCGTAAAATGAGATCTCGAACATAAATCTCATATGTAAAAATTACTGCATAAATCGGAAGGATTAAATTAAAAAGAAATGAATTTTAAATAGAAAATTATTTATATACTCAATACTTCACGTATTTCTGCATGTCCTATTAATTTTATGCATTTCTTCACATTCTCAAATTTTCTACAGAAAAGTAAAAAATTTCATAAAGATCCGCAGTCGAAATTATTACGAAAGTTATATAAGTCAGCACTTACCTGCACTTACTCGCCCGCATGCGAATGGCGAAAGTTTTTGCGAATAGAAGAAAGTGAAGGAGAGAAATAAGAAACTGTTCTTTGGCAGACTCACCCTTGGTGATCACCTCGCAAACGCTGAACGGATTTCCGCTGTAATCATCGACACAAGCACACACTGCATGATGATTCACCACCGAACACTGTGCGTTCAAACCGCACAGACCGACACACGGATCGCGACACTTTTGTTGCATACACGCCAAATGTGGCGGACACTCGGGATTAATTGTACACTGAGGCCTGCAATTTGGCGGAACACCGATGTAATTCTCGATGCACGAACACGCTGCACTATCGCCACGCACTTGACACTCCGCGTTCGGACCGCACGGGGATGGTTGGCACGGATTCGTTGGTATTGGTGGTTGCTCTGAAATTAAAGGAAATTTTATTGACAAATATATAAGTGAATAGATAATATTGAGTCTGTTGGAATAGCAGTTTTGTTGCCATGTTACATATAGGTATTATTATACCTATATGTGTGTTATTTGCAGAAAATAAAATACACTTGAAAAATCATTACAAATGAAATATATATAAATGAGTAAATAGAAGATGAGAAAACTTACTGGGCATGATGTAACATCTAGTGAAAGGATCGCCAGTGTATCCCTCTGAGCAACTGCATATTGGATTATGATTGACCACTTGACATTTGGTGTTCTGACCGCAAGTTCCTGGACAAGGATCTTGACATTTGTTCGCGAGACACGCTTGAGTCAAAGGACACTCTGCACTCACTACACACTCTGGTCTGCATGTAGGAGGGCCGCTGATAAAACCAGTTTGACAAGAACAGACTGCGTGATCATTCACTACTTTGCAAATGCTGTTTGGACCACAGGGTGATGGTGTACATGGTTGTCTTCTTGGCTCTGGAAAATTAATGAAGATTTGATTTATACTGATCTTTATCTATTTAATGATATATATAATTAATAGATACAATCCAAATTAATTAGAGATCTTTTTATTAGATTATTCTATAAACATACAAAATTATTTAGACTTTAGTAACTGAAAATCCTATTAAATAATATTTATGAAATATATATTGAAAAATAAATTAAAGGATAAATATATATGAATATATACATGTAAAAAAAGGTATTAAAAAATACGTACCTTCAGATACTTGTGGTCGACATAGTGTGAATGGATCTCCAGTGGTACCAGGAAGACAGCTGCACATAGGGATGTGATTAACCACGTCGCATTTTGCATTAGTTCCACACGTGCCAATGCAAGGATCCACGCAAAATTGATTGACACAAGCCTTTACTCGAGAGCAGTCTGAGTTCATAGTGCACTCTGGACGACAATACGAATATGGATCGCCAAAGTAGTTTGGAAGACATGTGCAGATTCCTTCTTTGCAATCTGCGTTTGGTCCACAGGGAGATGGATTGCATAGATCTTCTGGTTTTGGTTGTTCTGTAAAATTATAAAAATGTGTTCTGTAATAGTACAAATGTGTAATTCTATCATTTAATTGATAAATAAAAATGAAAATCACAAAATGAAACGTAATAATTAGATTGCAAGTTCTTATATAAATTCATACGTTTAAAGATGTATGATAATTAAAAAAGTAGAATCTCGGTGAAAAATTGTTTTACGTAGTAAACATTACAGAAAATATTTTGACTATTTTACATATTTTTGCATAAAAATACACAATCTAATAATAATCAATTTTAAAATCCAAATCAATTTCAAATTACGAAGCTTATCATATGAATTTAATATTTCAATTGAGATTGTAGAATTACATTAAATTTTTTTGCAATACTTTGAAACATTCTGATTTATTCTGAATTATTCTTTGCTTAATGTAATAAATACCTATTATCTGTGAGCACAGCGTGAAGGGATCACCAGTGTATCCAGGTTGACATAGACAGACAGGGATATGATTCTGTACTCTGCAATCTGCATTTTGTCCGCATGATCCGATGCAAGGATCCCTGCATTTTTCTGAAATGCAAGCTTGATTCGAAGGACAATCTGTGTTAACGACACACTCTGGTCGACAGTTTGGTGGTAATCCTATGTAGTTCTTTAGACAGGAACAAGCAGCTTGATCGCCAATTGCTCTGCATTCTGCGTAGAGTCCGCATGGACTTGGGGTGCAAGAATCACCCACTGGTGGTGGTGGTGTGACTGGAAGAAAAATAACAATTTTGAATGTTTTTTCTTTTTTTTTAGAAACTGTAGCATTATCCGCTTTTTTAGAAAGTGAAAGCAAGTATCCTCTTTTTAAAAATGAAAAGAAAAATTTAAATAGACTTTAAAAAAAATAAATAAATATTTTATTAATAGTAATGTATTAATAATTTTACTCAAATCTTTTATCTAGACCGTATGTTTTAATTTTTGAAAGTATGAATTTCTTAAAGTTTAATTTTTCGCAATATACAGTAATCTTGAATTAGAAATTATTCAAGGTATTTTTTATTTTTTAATTCAAAAATTTAATAAGACATGCAACACTATCTTATCTTTGTTTATCATT